GGTACCAGACGGCCTCACGAGTCAGATGCGGGGGGAGGCATTGTGGTCTGGGGGCCAGAAACTTGAGTCTGGGGTGGGTCCTAGCCCCAGACCCTCGGGCGTGTCACCTCCCACTCCCAGCTGAGAAGCCTCATTGCGTGTCCGCCCTTCCCACAGGTGCCCACCTCCCGCCCAAGTAATCCCAGCCCAGCCTGCGGGAGGGTGCCCACAGGAGTCCGCCTGTGCTGGGCAGGAAGCCCAGCACAGCAGCGAGTTTACCTGCCCCAGCTGAAAGGAGCAACCCCCGTCAGGGTCTCCTCGCAGGCTTCAAAGTTCCTCCTAACCAGGACAGGGCTCCAGGAGATGGAGGGTCTGAGTGCACCACAAGCTCCTGCCTCATCCAGGAGTCAGAGGAGAGCAGCGTTTCTGCTCCCCAAGGCCAGGGTGAATGCTCACGGACGAGAATTCATTGCATAAGTGGTTCTGGCACTCCTCCTCCAGACCAGGCCCTGTTCCGAGGGCTGTTGGGGCACAAGCCAGCCCACAGTCTAAAACCCCTGGCCTCCTTCTCACCCCCGGGCCCCTCTGGCTGGGAGGTGTCAGGACTGCCTGTGACGCCCTTGTGGCCCTGGGGCCGCCGTCTCCTGCAGTGGACAGAACAGAGCCCCTGAGGGGGCTGTGACCAGAGGGGGTTCTCCTACCGCCGCGGCTGATGCCCTCCCCTCCAGGACGTGGGTCCCCCTCGTCCCCGTTTCCCTTGAGTGCGGAGAAACAGACTGACATTTTCCGGCAGAACTGTGCCAAGCACCAGGGCAAAACAGAGACAATTATGAGGATAACAGGCTAAAAATAGCCTCCTTCGCGGCCCAGACTCCTGCATGGAGACGCCAGACGAGCCAGCAGGAGTGCGGAGCCCGGGGCCCTCCAAGGAGGCGCAGCCGCCGTGCACCAGGGCAAGGAGTGGGCCACAGGGCTGGCACAGGGATCTCTCTTGTCAGGGAGCACCAGGCAGCAGGATGGGGAGGGGTGGGGAGGGGCCACAGAGGTGGCACCAGGGGGCGGGTGCAGGGAGGTCTCCTTGGGTGGGAGGACAGGAGCAGGGCTTTGGAGGATGAATAGGAGCTTGGCAGATGGTGGCCATTCCCTGTGGATGCGGTGCAGGTGGCAGTTTTGTGGCTCCCAGTGGGACATTCAGAGAGGCAGGAAGGGTGGTGTCAGAGAGCGGCCTCAGAGGTCCCCGGTCTGGCCCTCCCTCCAGAGCTTCGTGGTTACCCTCGGAGCGAGGAGCTCACTGCCTCCTCGAGGAGGTGCTGTCTTTGGGGAACAGCCTCTAAGCAAGACTCCCCTCCTCTGGGCACCTGAGCCAAGGCTTGGCAGGCTCTGAACGGGGCTACAGCTCGGAGACAGGACAGTGGCTGGCACCCGACACTGCCCTTTCCAGCTGAGCCCCCAGCAACCTCCACAGCTCCTCCCTCGGGTCAGAGCCAGGCTTGGGGCCCAACCATGGACATGGGAAGGGACTCGGGGAGGGACACCTGGCAGCCCCAGCCCTTTCGGGGCTGAGCCGAGGAAGCTGCACTCAGAGGTCATGGAGACGGGCCTGTGTCCGAGGTCTGGGGCTCCCACAAGGAGGGCAGGTCAGAGGGAAGGGGTGCCTGGAGGGGCGCCCGTGGACAGAGGTGGGCGGCTGGAAACGGTGAGTGAGAGCCAGGCAGCAGGCGGGGCCTTCAGGGGAGGGCGATGGAGGAGGTGCGCTCCTAAGGGATTCTGGAAGGACAGCCTGGCAGGATGGGGAGGGGCCCTGCAAAGCCGGCGTCGAATTTGGGCTTTATCCAGAGGTGGCAGGAGACCCTTGGAGAGCTGGGCCCAGGAGCACCCCGCTAAAATATTTTATTGTTTAAGCATCTTTTTATTCCGGAAGGGGTTCTCCAGGAAACAAATGAACACAAAGCAAACACAAAGCAGACCCAGTGGACTGCCCACCTAGTGGCGATGTGGGGGGTCACATGTGTGGGACGGTGGACAGCACGAGAGAAAGGAGCAATCCGAAATCCCAGGAAAGAACAACCGCGGTATAAGGGAGGAAATATACCCACAGGCCTCTGCCCCGGAGGATATTCAGGCCAAGACAGTCGAACCCTGAAGGTTCAGTGAAGGGAAATGGAGACCTGGCCCGCTGGGGAGAGGAGGGGCGTGTCTGGCTCAGAGACATGGTCCATGATGCCTGGAGGTGGCGAAAGGAGAAACAGGGAGCCCTCAGCCAGCTGGCCCTAGGGGGGTGGGGCTGGCTGGGGCTGGCAGGGCCTGGGCTGGGGTCAGGGAGGCCAGGCCTTTCCTGGGCTCCCAGCTGGCACCGGGGGCTGTCATGTGACGGGAGGCCTGGGCTTCAGCTGGACTTGCGGGTACAGAGAGAAGAGCAGGACCGGGCAGTGGGTGGGGGAGGCCTGGTGACAGCAAGCCCCGCCCTGCCAATGCAGTTCCCCCTTCTGGAAAGGCCGCCCCCACCCCACCACTCCGCAGCCCCGTGGTCTGGCTTCAGCTTCTGCCCTCAGGCCACGCTGTTCTCACCGAGATCCCCGAGGTGGCCTGAGGGCAGCACTGGCATTACCTGGTCCTCTGGGGAGGGGTCAGTTTGGAGTGGCTAAGAGAGGGGAGCTCGTTTGGATGGGCAAAGCGACTCCCATTTCGGGCTACAGAGAGCAGGAGAGAGCAGAGAGGAGAGGTGGGACCCCAGATGGGCCGGAGAAGGGAGAAGGCTTGCTGCCTGATCCCACCTTCTCCCTGGCCCAGGGCTCAGCCTGAGGCCACAGAGATGCGACGGAGGGGTTTGGTTCACCTGGCGACTCCCTGCCCCTCTTGGGCCTCGGTTTCCCTGTCCACAGGAGAGGCCCTTCAGCTCTGAGCCCCATCACAGACTGAAGTGGTGGCTGAGGACCAGAGGAGGCCCCTGCGGCTGCTGCGCCATACCTGGGCCTCCAGAGCCAAGGGCTGGGGCCGGGGCTGCCTGGCCTGCCTGGCCTCCCTCCTGGAGGAAACAGGCTAATGTATGCCTCCCCGGCTGCCGTGAAAGTAGGGCACAAGCTGGGAGTTCCGGCAGCGTGGGAGAGCCCCTCAGGCGGTGCTGGGCTGGTCTGTGGGGGATCCTGGGGGGAAGGGGGCCAGAAGAGAGGAAGAAGCACAGGGGAGCCTCCTAATTCAGGCCTCGTCTGGAATCAAGGGTCGGTGGGCAGCCAGGCCCAGGGGTCAGTGGGTGACCGGGGCCGGGGCTCAGGAGCCACCTAGAGGAAGGTTTAGTGGGTGGCCAGGGCCAGGGGTCAGTGGGGGAAGCAGATTGCCCTCACTAGACAGTCCTCTGACTTCAGCAGAACCAGTGCAAACTCAGGGCCCCCCTGAGTTCCTTCCCCCACAACAGGAAGAAAAGCAGGTTTTAAACCAGGCAGCCCCAAGTGGAGGAAGAAGCCTGGATCTCAGGTTCAGACAGATATGAGGTCAGCAGCAGCTGTTCAATAAAGTCGTTATTTCTAGCATCTTCCAGGTGGCAGGCACGGAGAGCAGGAGTCTGGCTGGTTCACTGCAATCCTGGGCAGGTCCCTGTTCCTCCCCCAGCCTCAGTTTCCACACTGGGAAGATAGGGCTGTGGAAGGGAGCACATCGTGGGGGATCCTGGGGTGCCCATCATAGGGGGGCTGTCATAAGGGGCTGTCATAAGGGGGCCTGTCATAGGGGGCCTGTCATAGTGGCCCATCATAGGGGGCCATCATAGGGGGCCGTCAGGGGGGGCCGTCACGGAGGGAAGTCGTGGGGAAGCTCCTCCGTGTCTCCCTCTGCTGGGAAAGCTGGTGTTGCAGCCCTGCTTTGGCAGGAGGGTGGCTTCCTGGGGGAGGGGAAACACCCACTCTGTCCCCAGAGAAGGGAGAAGGGAGGGGCTCACCTGGGAGAGGAGGCAGAGCACTGATATCCCAGCCAGACCTGCCGCAGCCTCCTGGGCTGGCCCACGGGGAGCACTTGGGGGCTCACCGTGGGGAGCCGCCCGCAGCTTGTGTGTTAGGTGCCCCTCGCCTCCTGCCTCCTATCTCAGAAGGAAGCAGAGCCCAGACAGGCTGGGCATGGGGTCCACTGAGGCAGAGGGTGGGGCCGGGGCGGGACGAGGGGCAGGCCGGGAGCACACATCACACCTTGGACCCGGAGTTGTCCCCTTCCAGGCCCATGGGCCTTTTGAGCCCTCAGGTCGGGGAGCCATTGGCCGTGCCCCCCCACCGGGGCACAGACAGTGTCTGTTACACCCCTGCCGGGTGGCAGGTGCCATCCAAGTCAGATTTCCACAACATCTTTCCTGATGGGCCGTGAGAGCCCATCTGGTGTGAGGGCCCTGCTCCTGGGGCGCACCCACAGGCCAGGGCCGGACGCTGCCTCGGTGCGGACCGGCCGCTCCAACAGCACCACTGACGGGGGCTTGTGAACAGCTATTCCTCACGGAGATCGGGGTGCCTGCACGGTCGGGAGAGCGCCCGCTTTGGGGTCCAGACTTCTTGCTGTGTCCTCACAGAGGTGAGGGAGCTCTGTGGGGTCTTTTTTTTAAGGGCACTTATCTCACTCCTGAGGGCCCCCCCACGACCCTCTCACCTCCCAGAGGCCCCACCTCCTAACGCCACCACATTGTGGGGGAGGATTTCGACTTGTGAATTTGGGGAGACGCGTTCAGGCCACAGCAGCCTCCCCCCCTTCACTTTCTCTCCCTGACCTCCCCCCACACTCAGGGCCCTTGGCCCGCCTCTCCCTCCCTCCCTGCCCCTCCCTCTTCTCCTTGTCCACATCCCTTCCCCATCGCACCTGGGTGCCCATGGACATCTAGTCTGCTCACCCCCGCCCCCCAAAAGCCACCCCTCCACTAAGGGCCGTGCACCACAAGACTCAGTGTGCCCTTCGGAGAAGGGACACTGGGAAGAGGTGTGGGGCCACTGGAGCAGGTTCCTGGAGTGTGGTCTGTGCTCTGGGGGAGGGGCATGCCCTCCCGAACCCACCGACTCCTTGCTCCACAGGGAAGGGTGGTGGAAGCGGGGCTGGGGTGCAGAGTTGCCATACTGAGCAGAGCCCTGCCTTCCAGGGCGGGAAGGGAGGAGCTCGCCCAGCTCGGTGCCCACCACTCCTCTCCTCTCTCCTTCCGTCTCTTCCTGTTCCGCATCCGCCCTCTCCACTCCCTCGTCCCCGACACCTGAAGGAATCTCACGTACTCGGACGCCCTGGTCCCCTCTCTGGCTCTGCAAAGGTAGGGGTGGGAGGACAGAGAGAGGGAGACCGGGAGAGACAGAGAGAGAGACAGAGACAGAGAGATGGGGTCAGAGTGGGGGGATGAGACAGAGGGACAGGGTCAGAGAGAGGCAGGGACAGAAGAGAAAGGGCAGAGGAGTGGACCGGTAGCCATGCAGACCCAGAGATGGCCCCAGACAGGCAAAATGGACAGCGAGAGCAAAGGGAGCCAGATAAAGAGCCTCGGCGGCCCGCAAGCAGAAGACGGGGGATGAGCCACAGAGCCGGGGCCTCGGGGCGGGGGGCAGGGGGCAGGCGAAGCAGCTACACAGAGAGGCCTGGGCAGCTGCTCACGGACTCGCCCACGTGGGAGCTCAGCTACAGAGGCAGGCTGCCCCGGAGCTCCGAGCACGGGGACAGCGGGCCTGGCGGGCGCCACCCCGCAACCTTGCTTGGGGGGAGGCTCTCGACGTCCTCGGGGTGCTGAGTGTGCCCAGGACCAACTGCTTAGAAGCCACTTTGTGTTTTTAAATTAGTGCTGTCAAAATTACAAATCCCCAAACCATGCTCTTCCTTCAGAGTTTGAACAACACTTGAATCTTATACTCTCATAATCATTTTCAGGGAGACTTTGAGGAATGTTTGCTCCCATATATGTCTTCAAACCTTTTAAGCTATATCTATAAAGTTAACATAGTCTAAATTAAATCTACTTTTCAAACACTTTGTCTGACTTTTCCAAATACTTCAAAAGTTATTTTAAACTTATTAAATTAAGCTAAAAAATATGGTAATTCTTAAGCTCTTTCTAACGTTCCAATACTATATATAAACTTTCATATGGTTTCTACCTAAAATCAGAAGTCTACACCACCAGCCCAATTAGACATGTGACGGTGGCCTGACAAGGTTGCTCTGTCACTTCTAATCAGCCACATTGTCTTCAACGTTCAAGTGCTTAAAAAATGAAGCATATACAAATTGTTGACAAAAATAATAACATTTTGGGTGTGGTTCTCTTTTAAATTTTTATACTAATCTTAAATCCTCTTGGGGTTAAAAGTCCCTTACAGACTAGGAAGAGTCATGTCACCTGTGAAGTCACCTGGGAACAATCCACACGACCACCCTCACTTCTGACACCAACTGCAGAGTCTAGGGGTCCAACCCTGAGAAGAGGCGCATGGGGCAGGGCCCGGGGGCTCCAGACTCGAGCTCCTGGGTGTCCTCTCCCTGTGGGGTCCTGGGCAGCCTTAGCTCCCCTGGCAGCGATGTGACAGCATGCGGAGTGTGGCCAACCAGGGAAGCCCCCAGCCTTGTGTCCAAGGTCTTTATCAGGGCCTCCGTCGCATAGACCCGGTTAGCCACCCCCATGGCCGACCTCAGTCTCTGGTCCCCTCAATCAGCCAGATCCCCTTGGGCAAAGTGAAGATCATATCACCTCAGATAATTTTCAGGGCCCAGCCCCGTGGCCGAGCTGCTAAAGTTCTGTGGGCTCTGCTTTGGAGGCCCAGGATCACGGGTTTGGATCCCAGGCGCGGACCTACTCCACTCACCAGCCATGCTGTGGCGGTGTCCCACATATAAAGTAGAGAAAGACTGGCACAGATGTTAGCTCAGGGCAATTCTTCCTCAGCAAAAAAAAAAAAAAAAAAAAAAAAATTCAGTGTGGCTTCTGTCCTCTGGCTGTTCAAGGAAGACCCCTCGCCCCCACCCCACACGCTGCAGGCCCTCTGCGGTTGGGTTGTGGACGTCTGACTGCACTCCCTGCCATGGGGTTCGGTGGCAGTGACGGCCCCTCTCCTGAGCTGGCCTTCCCCGTCTCTTGGCCCTGCCTGCTGGCAGCTGCCCAGCTGTGGCAAAGCGCTGGCTTCAGCCAGCAGACGGACAGTGGCCGGGGGGCGACAGAGCACTTGGAGGGTCCTGAACGAACAGGTGGCGCCCGGCCACCAGCCATAGGCTCATGTGACAGAAAGTAAGTGGTTTTCTCTGCTGGGCCTCTCTGTGGCAGCCTGGGCTCCTGCTGACGAGTGCACTCTCCTGAGCCCGTTTCTGTGCTGCCGTTTCTTAACCAGCAGGGGTGCTGGTCCTGCACTCGGCAGCCACACGGACGGGACAAACGAGACCTGTCTCGCCTGAGCTTTGGGGGCAGCAGCGAGAAACATCCTGAGCAGGCACTCAGGCCCGGTGCCCGGCCCCCAGCCCACTCCGCAGGCACCTGAGTCACAGAAAAGGCAGCCTATGCCCGCCTGGCACAGAACTCCCCAACAACCTGCAAAGTAAGCCAGTGGGGCTTCCTGGTGGCCTCCGCCCCCAGTCCCAGCCCTGCTCCCCAGTGTGAGGCCAGCCCAGCCCCTCTCTGTGCCTCAGTTTCCCCACCTGCCAGTGAGGAGATGAGACTGGCTGGCCTGTGACATCTGGATGAGCAGGTCGGGGAGGGGTGGAGAGACGCCCGTATCCGGAGCACCCTGAGGCTTGGGCTGTGGGATTCATGACACCTGCCGGAGGGTCCTGGCCCCTCCACCGCAGGCCACGCCACCTCGTGCTGCCCTGCGGCCTCTTTTCTTGGGGCACAAAGACACAGCACTGCATCTCAGATTGCTGAGGAGTTCAGACAGCCTGTTCCACAATCATCCGACTACCGGGAGTAAGTTTTTGTTAAAAGGAAAAAGCATCCACTGCTTCCGGCTTTTGATGTCAGCAGTAGGATATCTCCGGGAGAAATTACTGCCTCTCAGACATCACCATGGTGCCCCAGTCTCCTGTTCCTGTCGATTTCCTCTCCCCATTCTTGTCAGTACTTTCGTTAATTAAAGGAATAAAAGTGAAGACTAGTCGGGAGGCAGCCCTTTCCTCATGAAGCCACCCCCAGGGCCCTGCCCTCTTGCGTGGCAGGTGACCACATTTCCTGGTGGCAGGTGGCCCTCTGCCCCCTCGCTCCTTTCCTGCCGCCCCAGGTCTCTCCGTGTCCCAGTGGTGGTTCTCAGCAGGGCGGGCCTAACGAGATGGCTTGGCCGAGCAGAGCAGCGCCTTCTGAGGGGCAGGACCTGCGCTGGGCCGGTGACAAGCACCTGCAGATGGCTGGGCGGTTGTGACGCTCAGTTATATATGTCAGCCTGGCTAGGGCGCTGTCCCCAGGCATTCAATCCAGCCCTGACCTCGGCGTCGCCCAGAAGGTCTCCGTAGGTGTGATTGAGCTCATAATCAGCTGACTCTAAGTAGGGAAGATCGTCGGAGAGAATCTGGGGGGCCTGGGTCAACCAGTTGAAAGGCCTTAAGTGCAGGGTGGAGCCGACCCTGGGAGGAAGGCCCGCCTGCAGGCGGCAGCTCCGCCTGGCCCAAAAGCTCCCGCCCACCCTGTGGGCTCGGACTGCCCCGCCAGCCCCTCAGCTGGTGAGCCAACTTCTTGGAGCGAGTTGGGCTGTCCATCTCTCACATGTCCCGCTTCTCAGTGAACACTGGCTGGTACAGGAGTCCGAGCCCCTCCAGGCCATCTCTCCCTCCCCGTTGGGGACCTGGAGTCCCCTGCTGAGGCAGGGGAGAACACCCATGGGGCATCGGATGGCCCTCATTTCAAAGTTCTTGAGCCCCTCACCGTGGATGGTTTGCCCGTTTGCAGATGAGGAAACTGAGGATCAGAGAGACCACGTTAATGATCCCGCAGCCAGGACTTGCCAGGGTCCCCTCCCAATGGGGATCTAGCCTTGCCTGGGCCCCTGGGGCTCCAGAGCCTGAGAAGTCCCCCTGGGCCTGCAGGCATCTCTGTGGGCTGAGCCCCGTAGCAGAAGAGCTCCCAGGACCCCGACCCCGCACACCTGCAGGCAGTGGTGGGAGGGCTTACAGGGGGACAGCCCTCAGCTCAGCGTGACAAGGGCTCCTCTGAGTCACTCTCTGCTGGCTGCCTCAGGCTGGGGGGCTGCAGGGGCTGGCTTCCGTTAGGTGACCCCCTAAGGCCCTTCTAGCCTGAGGATTCGGATCACTGACCAACTGCCCTGTAGGGTAATGGGGTTGTGCTCTCCCAGGTCCCCAGGGACCCCACAGGCTGCCCTCATGGGGGTTCCAGGCCCTCACCTGGGCTGCCTCCCTCTGCATCTCCACCCCAGCCAGTCCAAGTCGGCAGAGAAACAGCAGCACACACGCTCCAAGTTTCAGTGTTTTATTAACAAAATATTACAAAAAGTCTGTCTTCAGGTAAGGTGGCGGGGGTGTACACAGCCTGGCCTGGTGTTCAAGGCTTGCTCGGTGGAGGTGGGGGGACTGGCCACACCAGTGGGGTCCAGTTGAGGACCCCAGGGCCTCCCTGCAGCCTGTGCCAGCCTGTGAGCATGGGTTATGGCTTATGTGCAAAAATAAAATCTGGGGGGGCTGGCAGGAGCGCAGGATAGGAGGGCTGGCAGGGTCACCTGCAGACTTTGGTCCCCTGAATCTATAGTGGACTGGCAGAAGAGGAACCCCCAACCAGGGCCTGCTCGGGCCACAGACACGAGCGGCTGGCCAGCACCGGCGTGTTGGTGCTGGGAGAGGTGGGGGTCCGGGCCTGGGCGACAGCAGGGCTGGCAGAGGGCCCATGTAAGCCCCAGGAGCAAAGGCTTCCGGATCTCCTGGGGCTGGGCTTGGGGCCTCCGGGCAGGGGCAGGGGCTGTGGCCTCAGCCCCAGGCTCGCAGAAAGCTCTGGCAGCAGAGGATGGCCACGTAGCGGGCAGGGGTTCTTGGGCTGGAGCAAGACAGGGCCGGGGCAGCCGACCCCGGCTCCAGCCACAGTGGCCACTGGGGCGGACAGGCTGGTGGCCAGCGGGGCAGGCACAGTGGCAGGCCCTGGCCCTCACGCTGGCCCGTCTTCACCATCAGCTCTGTCGGGCCCCCTTCTCTCTGCAGCCCCCTCCCTCACCGGCCTTGTACTTCTCCGGCGGCGCAGCAGCCTGCAGGAGGAGAGGGGAGGGGCGGTGCCAGGCACAGCAGCAAACGCTCTGCGGCAGCCTTGAGACCTGAAAGAAAGGAAGACACGGGGCCATCAGGGACAGGGCAGGAGACTGGGGGTCTCCACGGGAAGGGTGGGGGACATAACAGGGCTCTCCCAGGGGGAAGCCCCAGGATCCCAGTGGGCTGCCTCTCAGCTTGCCCAGAGAACTGGGGAAGGGGCCTGGGACCTGGGGGCCAGGGGAGGACAGCGGAGGAGTGGGGTCTTCGGTAGCAGGGATGCGGCTCAGTTACCTGTTGTCATTCTCCTGGCTCCGAGGGCGCCGGCTGCTGCCTCAGCCGGGCTTGAGGACTCAGGCCCTGTGGGACCTTGCGCCTGCCATGGGTGAGTCATCGAGCCGAGCTCAAGCCTTCTCCAGGCTGGCGTGAATCACTGGTGCTGGGGCGAGAGAGAAAACCAGCGTCCGTGTGAGAGCTGGCTCAGCAGCCTCCCCCAGCCCTGCTCCCACCCCAGCCCCTCCCCCGATCCCTGGGGTCTCTGCTCCTCCTGCCTCTCCACAACGCCCCCCCCCATCCCTGCGCTAACTTGCTGGGGATGCCTCTGAGCCTGGCTGGGCTCACGAGAAAACGGAGTTGGCCCTGGCCCTCTCGGCTCTACAGCGCCCCCTGGCAGTGGTGCCATGTGGCGGGGGCTCACCTGAGGGGCCAGGAGGCACCAGAGGTTCAGTCAGGTTGCTGCTGCTGCTGCTGCTGCTGCTGCTATCACTGCTGTGTTTTCGGCTTCAGCTCCCCTCCAGGAGGAGGGAGCCACACTGCCCGAGGCTGGCCAGCTGCCCTGTGCGGCGGCAAGGGTGCCAGCTGGCTGCACGGTGACAGCCAGGAGAGGGCGGCATCCCCGAGGCCAAGGTTCCTGTGGCCCTGGTTCTGCTTTAGCTTCTGTTCTGGGGTGTCCCTTGAGGCTGGTGCCCGCTGGTCCGTGCCATCTGGACATCTGGTTTCTGAGTGCCCAGAAAGCCCGGGTGTGGAGCTGAGTAAGGAGGCTGAGGTGTCCTGCCATGGCCTGAGAGGGCGGAGGAGGGGTCACCGGCCCAGGCAGACCCAGGGCCGGGGAAGACAGACGGAGGGAGGGCACTGGGGCAAGGGCCCTGCAGGGGAGAAGGGCTCCTTTGCTGTTTGGGGAGCACTGCCCACATCTGGATGGCGTGTGTCTGTGCGAGTCAGGCTGGGAGGCTGAGGCGGGGGCCCGGCTGGATGAGGATGAGGGCTCCCCCCTGCAGCAGTCCTTCCCGCCCGTGAGTCCTGGATGGTAAGGCCACAGGCGGCTGTGGTGGGCAGGCTGGGGCCCGGGCCGCCCTCTATTCCGGCTGGGTCCGGTCACTGGCTACAGACTCACTGGTGAGGGCCGGCGTGAGGGTCTCGGCCTCGCCCTCGTCCTCGGCGGGCAGGCGGGGGCCGGCTGGCTCGGCCGCCTGCTCCAGGCCGTCCTGCACCTCCATGCCCCTCTGGATGAGCTGCTCCAGAGTCTTGGGCAGCGGGTGGCGCAGGAAGCGCTTGAGCTTGGGCTGCAGGGTGCCCACCACGTACTGGATGATCTCCTCCTCGTCGGCGTCCACGTAGAGCGTCTGGTACAGGTCCCGCTTGCGCCACAGGAACTGGTCCAGCGGCTCCCCCTGCTTCTGCGGCAAGTCGAGCTCGCGCTGGATGGCCTCGCGGGACAGTGTGCCCTCGCTGTACTGCAGGAACTCCTTCTTGAACTCCACCCAGTTCTTCACTGAGCCCTGCTTGAACTCCCACCACTTCTTGGCCGGCCCGTTCATGTGGTTCTGAATCTGTGACAGCCAGTACTCCTCGGAGCCGCCCACCTGTCGCAGGTACTCCTCCAGGTGGCTGAGGAACTCCCTCGGGTCCTCGAAGATCTGAGTGTCCACGCCGGGGCTCAGCTGCCCGTCCTCACCGGTCCCCCAGGGTGGGTACTGCTGGGCCTCCACGGGCTCCTGCCCAGGCAGCTCGCCAGTGGCGGGCGGCGGGGTGATGGCGTAGGGGCTGACCGTGTAGTCGTAGCCATCAGCGTCCTGGCCATAGCTCTCAGGACCCCCCACGCCCACGGAGGCCGTGTGGCGGGCTGGCTCGCTGCCCACCTGGTACTTGGTGCCCATAGCCTCCAGGCGGTCCGCCCACCTCTCCAGCCGGTAGAAGATCTCCCGCCACACGTGCATCTCGCGCTTGACCCAGCGCTCCAGGTTGGCGATGGTCTCCTGGCAGCGGCAGAGGCACGCCTTGATGGACTTCTTCCAGCGCTGCGAGTCGCTGGTGGGCACGTAGCCGTCCAGGTTGCTCTCCAGCTTGCCCACCGACCTGTGCAGCCCCTTCAGCTCGCGCTCCACCTGCTTGGACACCTCGGCCAGCAGGTGCCGGTGGGTCCTCCGCACATGCTCCAGCATCTCCGTCCGGCACTTACCGATCTGCAGGATCACGTTGGGCTTGGCCACCGGCCCGCCCCGCGGCCCGGGGTAGGCGTGGAGGCCGCCACTCTTCATTTGGTCCAGCTCCATCTGCGGGCAGGTGGCCACGCCGCTCGGACAGGCGGAAGGCAGAGGGCTGCAAAGTCCTCTTGGGGCTGACGACGGGCTGCTGGCAGCCTGCTCTGCGGAGGTGCCTGCGGCGCTGGGTCCCGCGGAGCGCGCTCAGTCCGGCTCCGTCCCGGCTCGGTCCCGGTGCGGCCCCGGTGCGGCGACAGCAACCCTCCAGGAAGAGCTGCGCCGGAACTCTGCGCCCTGCGGCGGCCGCCCGCCTCTTTATGCTGCCAGCGCGGTCCGTGGGCGGCCCCCTCGCCGAGCCCCGGCTCCCATTGGCCCCGGCGCAGGCTCCCTGCCCGCCCCCACCCTGCGGGCCCCGCCTCCCGCGCCCACTCGCGCTCCCTGAGCAGAGGGAGGACCCACCCCTGCACACACGGCTGGCCTGGGGTGACTCATGCGCTCGCTCGCACCGCCCCCTGCCCAGCCTCATTCAGTCTGCGGGACCGGAGGAACAGTGCTGGGGTCAAGCGAGCACCCCCCACGCCAGCGCTTGGCACAGGGGCTCGCTCGGGTGTGTGCCTGGAGGGGCCCCCACCCAAGGGTAAGGAGGAAGCCCCTCCCCAGGGTCTCAGGGTCAGCTTCCTCCTCTCACCTGTCTCTCCTCACTGGGGAGCGGGGAGACTGGACTCTGCTCTCCTGGATCCCCATTGCCCCCCATCCTGACCCTGCGCAGTCTGGCTTTGCGGGATGTTCATCCACGGATGAGCCCTGACAAGGACCCTGTCATTCAGACCCTCCTTCCCTGAGGTGTAGGCTTCAAGAAGTCTTTGTGTGCACAGACACACGGTGCATGGGTGCACACATGCACACACACACACTCCCAAGTGTCAGGTGTGAGTTCCTGGATGTGTCCTCTACCTCCTGCCTACCCCTGCCCCGGGGACCCCTGAGTCCAGGGCCTGGGCTGGTCCTCTGAGCTGGTCCTCTGAGCTGTGTATGAGGGACACGCAGCCGGGCCTTGCTCTGCCAGGCCCCTGGCGTTGGTGAGAATGTGTATGTCCCATCTGTGTGGCAATGGCTGGACAGGACTGCCCATGCCCCGACTCCAGGTCTTTGGTGAGGCCCAAGACTTCTCCATTTAGTGCCTACAGGGAAATCTGGAAGCTGCTTCCAGGGGTGGAGTGTGTGGAGGAGATGGAGGGGTCCTGCCGCCCACTGCAAGGTGCTGGGCCCTGAGCCCCCCAGGCCACAGAGGGAACCTGGTCAGAAGCTCCGAGACTGCTAAGAGGATGGAAGAGCGAGAGAGGAAGAGGGAGGGGGGAGGAGGGAGGAGGAAGGACGGGTGCTGGCAGCTGCTGCAGTCAGGAGAGGCAGAGAAAAGCAAACCACCATATAAGGAGCGGGGCTCCGGAAGCTGAAATTCCCTCGGGAGGGAGGCCCCTTCTGCCTCCCTGGCAACAGTGGTGGGGGAGAGACGTCCTTCCTGGGCTACCTCTTGACGGAGGGGTATGGGTCCCGGGTCCTCTGGTGTTACCTGGGCACAGGTGACACATGCCACTGCCCGCAGCCAGAGGCGCAGACACACAACCAATGGCATGCAGACATCTCAGCCCCTGCTGCCCATTCCCCTCTCCTGTCAACCACACGCACACTGCACACTCACAGCCCTCCACTCCTGCCTCCCCCCACATCCATCCCCCACAGGCACACTCATCCCCCCACATCCATCCCCCAAATACACACTCATCCCCCCCACATGCACACTCATCCCCCCCACGCACACTCACCCCCATGCACACTCACCCCCCCACGCACACACTCATTCCCCCACGTGCACACTCATCCCCAGACACACACTCATCCCCCCATCCATGCCCATGCCCCCCAGCCCCACAATTCCACTCTGTCTTGTTCACACACTCCAGGGCACTCTGGTGCCCACACTCTCTGGAATCCCCACTCCTTGCCCCCCCCAGGCCTCTTCCCCTTGGTCTCCTGGAAGCCCCCCTCAGAGGCAGTCTGCCTCCTCCTTTCCCCCTCTGAGCTTCCACCCATGGTCGGGGTGGGGGGAATGTCTTTCTGGCAAAAAGTCCCCAAAAACGGCTCTCCTGGCATTTCTAATTAAAGGCGAGTGGGTGGGCAGAGAAGGGAGGTGGAGGGCAGCCCGGAGCAGGGAGGGGGAGCCAGGCAGAGAAGCTGCGAGAACAGGAATCCCGGAGCTACCAGCCTAGGCGTCCCCGGAGTGGAGCAGGAGGAGGCTGCAGGCCTGCGTGCGCCTGTGTGTGACATGTGTGTGCGGGCAGTGAGTGTGGCCGGTCACCGCGGGCCTGCCTGTGGCTGTGAGCCCAGGCCCACCTGCAGGGTGAGCTCAGGCCTGGGTCTGAGGGCCCTCGTCAGGGAAGGCGTCCCATGAGCTGGGCAGGGGCCACACTCACACACATGTGTGTGTGCTTGCATGCATGTGTAGGGGGAGTGCAAAAGCCAGTACTTGAGTGACCAGGGGCCACCCCCCACCCCGTTTACAGAGTCCATGTGTCCCCTGAGGGCGGCGCTCAGGCCCAGGTCCCCTGACCAGCTAGGTGGCCCAGGCCAGGGCATGGCTCTCTGGGCCTCAGGCCCACAGTGGTCTCCAGCCCCCACCCCACCCCACCCAAGGCAGCAGCGGTCTGGCAGAGCTTCCTGGAGGAGGGGGGAGCCCAGCCAGGGCCTAGAGGGTGGGGGAGGGGTGGACCAGGCCAAGAGGAGCGGTGGGGAGTGGGGAGCAGAGGCAGGAGATTAGAAGGTGGGGGTAATGCGTCACCTTTGGGGGGGGAGCCGGGCGGGTGAGGGGATCTTGAGGCAACCCAGTGGGCAGGGCCGGGCTTGACCCAGACGCTTGGTGCCCCCCTCCCACAGCCAGTGAGCCCCACATGGGGGTGAGAGAGCAGAGTCCAGCGGAAGGGGGGATGCGGGGAGCGGGCGTGTGGAGCCAGGCAGGACCTGCACAGAGGCTGTGCTCACAGGGCCGCAGTGACAGGTGACAGGCGACAGCGCTGCTCAGAACACTTAATCGCTGCCCAATTATCGCCCCAGAAGCCCTCAGCAAACCCCCGCACTGGAGCCTTGGGCTCCATTCTTCCGCCTCCGGGAAAAGAGGCCGGCCGGCTCCCCACCGCTGCCCCCCCACCCCGCCCCGCTCCTCTGTGCTCCCCTTCCCCCACAGGCAGGGGTGAAGGCTCAGAGTACTGGCCTACAGCCCCCAGCCTCACCCAGAGCAGCTTGAGGCTGCATGTTGGGGAGGGGCAGGTGGAGGGGGAGCTGGGCCTCTGCAGGGAGGGAGGGAGGGAGGGCCTGGGGACACCCCCACAGAGCCAAGCCCGTCTGCTGCGCCTTGGGCCTGACAGCTTCTCAGGCCTCGTCTGCCTTAGAAGGAGGGGGCTCTGCAGGGGAGGGAGGGCAGGCCAGGGTGACCACATGGAGGCCTGCCCAGCACGAGGATCCAGGCAGCCCCCGGCCCAGTTCAAGCCCCCTGGGGTTCTGATCTTCTGCCCCTAGAAAACTCCAGGTGCTGATCAGATGAAACTAAGATGCCTATTTCAAGATGGGGTCTCCCTCCCAACTCCAAAGCCTCAGGGAGCCCCACCCCCACTCCACCCCACCCCAAACAGAGCCTCTCTGACCTCCCTGTGGACTGCCCCCAGACAGCTCCCTCCCTCCAGCAGCTGCCTTCCTATAGCTGCTCTGTGACCAAGTCCTGCCCCACAGGGCTCACAGCTGCCTCTGGAGACCCCGAGTGCCGGCTTCCCACCCCCACCAGCCTGGGCCCCCAGATGTGCGGGGGGGATTCCTCAGCAAGGCAGGACAGGACGCCTGTGCCCCGAGCCTCCCTCAGCCCAGAGTATGATCTGGGGGCTGGGTGGGGTCACTTGCTTCCCCAGCACAGCCAGGGCCACAGCCCTGCAGATTCATACCAGTCTTGCAGCTTTGCAGACTTAAAGTGTTTGCACGGGGCTGCCTCCCGGCTAGTCTCCCGGGTGTTGGCAGTTAGCACCACTTAACGCTCTAGGAGTGAACACCGGCTCCTTCAGAAGGCAGAGAGCACACACAAGTGCGCGCGCGCGTGCAGGCTCCAGCTGATCATGGCCACCTGCTCCAGGGCCCCTGCTGCGCCCGGTTGTGGCCCCGTCCTCTGGAGGAAAAGCTGGGCTGTGGAGTGGGCGTGTGGCGTGCCTCTCACTTTCATCTGGGCCTTCCTGCCTGGCCTTGGCCTGCGGTCCAGGTGCCCCCCCCCCCCACTGCCTGTGCAGCCACCCTGTGGGGCTGTCCCGGGTCACGTGGCCCCATTCCATCACCACCATACCCGGTGGAGCTGGGAGGAAGGACCGGGCCCCCCCGTGCCCGCAGGAGCCCGCTGCAGGCTCATCTCCTTGACCAGCATTTCCCGGGGGAGAGCCTCCCGCCCACCACGGCCCGGTGCCCCAGGGCTGCAGGAGCTGCTGACCTTGGCCCCAGCCGCTACGGCCCCAGCCTGGCCCAGGCTCCTGGGAAGGGGCTTCCCCCTTCTGCCTGGACTCCAGGCCTCCCTCCTGTTGCCTCTTCCTTCTCGCAGGGCAGGGCGTTTGAAGCCGGGTGCGACTCCGGGGCAAGGGCGCGTGTCCACGTGCTCACATCTGAGTCACGGGAGCCTGGAGCAGGGCCTGGCGCAGAGCGGGCGTTCAGGACAGGTGGTGGGATGGGCCCTTCTCCATCCCTTTCTGGTTGGGGGACGTTTGGCAGTTGCTCACCTGAGCCTCAACTTTCCATCTGTAAAATGGGGAGACCGTGCCAGGGCCGGTGTCCACTGAGGCTGAGGGCGGGTTCTCTTGCCCTACCTGGTCCAGGCCAGAGCGCTCCCCTGACTCGTCCTGCAGCAAGCCTCCTGCCAGAGTGTCATTTCTGGGACCTGGGAGGTGGGATGGGATAGGGGCCCCGCCTGCGGCTCCTCAGGAAGGCCTCTGTTTTGCTGCTTCCTTGCTTGTCTGCCTCCTGCCTCCCGAGGCAACACTGGGGCCGGGACGTCTATCCTGGGGCCCCGGGACGGGTGAGCAGAGGCACTGGGGGGCAGCTGGCAGGAGGGCCTGGAATCTCTTCAGGCAGCTGGGAGCACACCTGGGCCCTGCCACG